CAGCATACATACTTGTCTTATTGTGTCTTCTGCTTGAGCCATCCACGATTTCCCATTTTTCAGTCTCTGATCCTTACCTGCAGCAAGAACTTCATACAGAGGGTGTTCTTTCTCAGCAGCTACTCTGAGGTACGACTTAGCCTACAGCATCTTTAGCCTATCTGCAATAGTCGGCAATGCAAGGATGTATTGCATGCACACAATCGGGTGGGTCATGTACATCCCAGTATCACCCACAAAGCTTCAATCTGTAAACGCTTATGTTTCTCTAGCTGACTCTTCGAGACAGTGAGTAACCCCAAACCATAATCAGTCACTGAGATGTTTAAGTGCTGGTAAAGTGTGAACAACATTCTCTGCTCCATGTCCATCGCTGCCATAATCTTTAATGCATTAGAAACTTTTTGGGCCCTTCTCACAACCACCTCTATGTGATTCCTAAAAGACAAACTTCTGTCAAATGTGATTCCCAGATACCGCAGTCTATTGTCTATTTTGATGTCCCTGCCATTTATTTTGAGTCTGGAAACATCAGCTCTAACAATCCTGTTGTCCAATGAACAGCACATGACGGTTGCCTTTTCTGGGTTGATTACAACACTCATCCCTGTACACCATTCGTAGGTATACTTTCAGTGTAGTTTGCAGACTGATGCCCCTACGATGTCAGACATTTGTGTATAACACAATTTACGAAAACAAGTGACTAGCGCGATGAATTTGTTTAAATGAGGAAGAGTTACGCTTGTGTCTAATAGTTAACTCCTGTCGATCATGTTTATATTATGCAACCTATTAGACATTACATTATCGGATAAGGTTTATTACTATACTTTTAAAAAGTTCAGTAATATAAATATACTTAGAACACATTCCAGCGTTTGTAATTAAGACTTATATGGTGTGAACATGTTTTAAAAATTATTAACATGAAATAATGAACGAATGAATAACTGTATGCAAGGAGTGAACTGGTAGGGCTGTTTTAGATGGGCCTGCGTACCTAATTCTCAACCCTTTGAAAATAAAGTTTGTTCGTTTGTTAGTTCGTCCTCTTAGTCATACTTTCACAGTAGCCAGCCCATCATTTCTCTTTACTTTTGCCATCAGCGTGGCTCTTGTGTCGAGGTTAGTTCTTTGCAATGGCTTCGGATACTTTCACGTTTCAAAACAAACGTTTCTGTCAAAAATGACAGGGGTAAAAGGCGACGAAAAAATTAACCAAATATTATTACCATATAGATTTTGCTAAGGCCTTGGCCATACAGCAACTATAACAGTCAATGACTGAACATTTCTGATCTGATTAATAGACATAATCACAGGTCCCAACCAGATGCCTTCTTATAGATATCAATACTTTCTGTTGAGAATGGGAGTTTAATCTTGACCCTACCGCCCCTTCAATGCCGAAATCTAAGCTTGTGTTTTGTTTGTGTTTGTTTGGTGATGGTCACTATGCATTCATAACAGCTTTGGTACTGTTTGCACCTGCGTAGTGTGTGGGCATGAGTATATTTATTCCCCCCCCCCCCCCAAAAAAAAAAGAATGTTTTAAGGCTATTATTTGTGGTAAAAATAATAGATTTGTAAAACATATGACATCACAGTGACGTCAGATAATTTCAACATATCAGGTGATACCCTCTGCAGTGTAACCGTTACCTGTTCCTGTTAACGTTTACACGTGAGAATTGATCACGTCTCGCCACTGTCGTGTTTCCAGTCTTATGTCTAAACCTGAAGCTGATAACAGGAAAGTTGCCAAATTTGCTAACCCTCGCTATTTCGGCCAGACTGGGCTTACGTAGATAACAAATCAGTCACAGAAGTTTCCAGAACCTGTTTATATAATATTTAATGGAAATTAGCAACACTAATGTGCCAGTACACAGTCACTCTATTACCATAAACACATATTGCAAATATGCACCATAGTCTCAAAGAGGAGGCAGGGATTGGCCAGTACGACAGCGGATGCAGACGATCACTGACACCTTTGGCATAAACGTTCACTAGCCGGGACAGTTTTCAACGGACCGAGTGGCTTTTCGCGTATGTATTGACGAGAGCGACATTCTGTCAAACGCCTGCCACCTGATGATGATGATGATTATGACGACGATGATGAAGTTTATAAATACTTAGTCTTTCCTCTTCTTGGGATGTAGAGGTTTGCCAGAGAGATCGCTATTAATCTGCAGTTCTCTGTTTTGGCCTTTTTGCCATTCGAATCCTCTGTTAGTCAGGTTCTGTCAGATGTTGTCGCCCATGCAGACCCTGGGCCGTCCTAGTGGTCTGGTTCCCTGGTTCTTGGCCTCCTATACCTTCCGTGGTGGCCGATCCTCTCCCATTCTGCAAGCATGTCCAAACCATCGTATCTGTGACTGATTCACTCAGGTTTGTAAGGACTGGGTATCAAGATCTTGACGGATTGTCTGACTGCGGACTTTGTTCCTTCTTGTCACTTAGACCACCTTTCTCACATACCACATTTTTGAGGCCCGAAGCTGGCTTCTGTTAGCTGTTGTCATTGCCCATAACTCACACCTATATGTCAGGACTGGCACATATGTAGAGCGGTATACATTTGTGTTCCCTTGCTAATTTCTCTTTTGCCGGGGAACTTCTTGTTTATGATCTGGAAAAGTCTCCCAGCTGCTGCTTTTTGAGCAGCCAACTCTGACTTGATGGTCTCTTACTACTCCGAAGTATCTAAACTGGTGAAGTTTCTGTATATCAGATCAAATCTAACGAATTGAACAAGTAACAATCTTCAGACACCGCACAGGACCCAAAAAAAAAAAAAAAAAAAACTGGATTATCATTCGCTTAGTACAGACAGGAATATTAGTCGCAAGAGTAGTATAGTGCATCTTTATGCGTATATTTTTGTGTGTGGCTTTTCCTTCTTTAAGCTATAGTATTAAGCCTCCACTATAAAAACAAAGGAACATACTCAGCCGCTGAATGGTCTTATGAAAAATATGGGGGGGGGGGGGGGGGAGGGGGTGTATGCCAAAGATAAGAAGCTGCACATAAGATAGAGGGGCACTGTTATACAGGCAGTGTTGACCCCATTTTATTAACTGTTACATGCGAAGTAAAGCCTGAAGAACTGATTTTGTCATTAAATGAATGATCACGCATGAATGAATTACATTTTTAAAATCATGACATGGAACTGCGTGTATCATAGTTCCAGCCACGTAGCGTTAGGATGATGTACGTATGTGAACATATCAGAAATAAAAAGCTGCACATACGGTAAAGGAGCACTGTTGTAAACGCAGTACCCATTCTGTTTTAACATCATATTCGGGTGAAGTAGACCAGAAGAACCGATTTCGTTTTTAAATGAATAGATTAAGCTTCAGCTACAACAATTCTAACTATAAGTGAGCTACACCATTTATAATTTGTTTGTATCAATTTTATGTAGACATTTTTAACGATTAACTTGTTTCGTTTCACACGGTATTAAAATGACGACTAAAATTTTTCTGAAACAGTTACCCCAATAATTTTAGCTACGAGCCACCACTGCATCTAGCCTCTGTTCTTTCACTCCTTATGTTATGTATTTCATATCTCATGTTTCGTGTCTCATTTCTCATGTTTCTCTCCTCTTGTTAAGTATTTCCTATCTAACGTTTAAATTTTAATTCCTCATGCTACATATTTTACAATTTCACATCTGACATTTCATGTTCCGATTCTCATGTTTCAGTGGCGAAGGGTTCATTTAACTTTCCATTGCAAAAGGAAAATACATTATTTTACTATTTATTATTACTGTTTATTATTTATTATAAATTGCCCACTCGCTTTATGTCTCTGAAATACAAAAAGAACGCTCACTGGATGCTTATGCCACCCATAAAAGTTGTAACGTGTGAAAGCTACCAGTTACCAGTAACGCGAGGCTAGCTGCGCACGCATACTGTTAACAGTGAAACGAAAAGAAAGAAAAACTAATGTGATATCACCTCCAGTGTAATCGTTACCTGTTTACACTGACACGTTAGAATTGATCAAGTCTCGCTATTGTCCTATTTCCAGTTTTAAATGCTAAACCTGAAGCTGAGAACAGGCAAGTTGCCAGATTTACTGCCCACAATACTTCGTCTTTGTGTGGGTAATAAAACAGTCATAGAACTTTTGAGAACATTTGTTATACTTCTTAACGGAAACTCACAATATTTATGTGCCAGTACAGTTTTTACTCTATTAACACAAACATATTTTTGTTATTGCACAAGTGTACCACAGGCTCTTGGAAGAAGAGGCAGAGATTGATCAGTATGACGATGGATACAGGCTTTCAAGGACAACTTTGGCCTAAAAGTTCACTAGTTTACTAGTTTTCAAGGGACCCAGATGCTTTCCAGCATGAAATAATGAGAGCGATGTTGTACAAAATACCTGCTCCGTGATAATGAGGATGATGGCGATAATGATGACTATAATCTCCACACCTGGTGGATCTCCACATCTGGTGATGTCGGCGTAAAAGGTAACGAACGAGCAGACGAGCTGACAAGCATTGCATCACTGCATGCAGGAAGATGTACGGACATAGTAGATATCATCAATTCTATACGGACTAGACTGGTAGACAGTAATGAAGCTCTGACGCTAACACAATTGCTTGAACTTAAGATGAAGCTTGTCAAAGCACGTCGGTACCGTCTTCGAGGTCAAAAGATTGTAACCAACTTCTCATGGGAACAGTCTGTAGCCGTATCTTGGAGTGGCTGTTGCCATGGAGTACTGAGCACGCATGGACATGTCCAGTGTGCAGTGACGTCGATTATAATGACATAGCAACGTATAGACTGTCGTTAATATTCTTCTTCTTGATCATGGTTACCTAAGAATTTTCCTGCAACACCCAATTTTACAAGTTCAGCTTTATTGATTGCGAAATGGTCCATGATTATATACAGTTCTGACTCACAGTAACACAATTTCCATTCAATGTTTATGGAAATGCATCTCTATATATGTGCTCTGGGAATAAAACATAGCTTGTATGGAAGAGGCGTGCAGGACAACCCAAATCTGTCCTCAAGTGTCGGCAAAGGTGCACCTTCTGGAAGTCTGAAGTGATACTTCTGAATCATGGTTGACAGAAAAAGAAAGAGCTCCATCTTTGCTAAAGCCTCCCCGAGACATGATCGTCGTCCTGTATGGTCAGAGTAATAATTAATAAAAACAAGAATAATTTATGAGCGTGCATTGTAAACCCCTAAGGCAAAATTGCATTCAGACCTTAAGTCTAGGATGGAGTCAAACAGGGTCTGTAACATTTTAAATATATAAATGTCAATCAAGATTAAAACTCTTCAAAGTGTGAGAAGCCACACGGCACACGAGACACTGTTCCTTGCCCTACAAGTACCAGGTTCGCTGGTGTAAGATTGATTTTTTATGTATGCATTCATCCAAAGGCCATGATGGTAGCACGTCACAAAGATAATATGGTGTGTCTCTGTGTGTGTGTGTGTGTGTGGGCGGGGGGGGGGGGGGCTTAACTCCACACACAGTATCTTGGGTGAAGCTCATGAGGCCTATGTCCTGTTGGAGGGAAAAATAATATCAATACAGCCTTGGTTTTCACAACTTTTTAAATGGAAGGGAGCCAGCTTAAGAGCCTCAATAAATACCTTTTTTGCATATGGGGTGGGGGTGGGGGCGGATACCATCACATAAATTTGATTACGCTGTTCACAAGTAGATGCTTCCCTAATTTTAAATTAACCGTTTCGGGGAGCAGACCGAATGGTTTGGATCCCTAATGGATATGTTTTACATCTTGCTGGGAGCAATTAAAAGTACCCAAAGGAACAGTTGTGTGGATCGGAGGCAGTCTGCTTCTGACAAGTAGGTTTTTAAGATATACGGTCTCGCTTCAAAACCACTCTAGGAGTGTCATAAAAGATCTTTCGAGTGTCCGGACCAAAGCAGAGGATGCTAAATGACGATGGAAGATTTCGGGAAAATCTAAGATGATAAGGTGAAAGTTTAGGTTAAGATCAACTTAGGGCTATCAGAAGACAATCTAGATTTAGTGGACAGTACCTCTCTCCAGGATAGCGTATAGGTATTTCTTAAGAGCCTGCATGAGAATTTGTTGAAGTCCCCGTATGGGTTCTGGGCTCCCACTGTGTGGAAAATAAAAACAGACCAACTGTCTCCCCAACAAGCATGTCGTTTGAGTCGACTGATTGGGGGCTTCCTACGAAATCGGAGACAGAGAAACAAGGAACCTACAATCTGCATAAAAATAAGACAGATCTGTAAAAGTGATGTGTACACAACACTCAGGTTCAGAACTAGACAAAAGTCCAGAGATGGACGAACAACCAGAACTTCCCGCTGGAGTTTAGAGCGGTAAATGCGAAGAAGAAGAATTCTTTGAGGGAGGCAGTCATATAAACAAATCCAGAAATTCATTAGCATCTTCAGGACAGTGGCTTAGTGTTTCTCTGGCCGTATTCACCGCATTCGTCTTAAAAACTTCTCGTTAATGTTCCAAAGAAACACAGAATAGACCAACTGATTCTCATCTGCATGTCTTACAAGCCGATTAACTAAGTAAAATCAAAATAAGTAAACGATTCGTTTCCGCCCCTTTCAAGCGTATTTGGTGTAAAGGGCTATAATTTGTAGACCAAACGACATTTTGTGGGTTATGTGGTCATCATCACGCCGGTCGCCTTAACTTCTGAGGATTGTACCTGGTACCCACTCAGGGCTGGGTCGAACTGGGAGCCAAGGTCATTTAAAAAAATAGTCTGGCTCCCTCAGTACCCGAACCCACGAACTTCCCATCTGCAAGCAAGCGTCTAGCCGCTAGACCACGGCGTCTCCCTGATCAACTAAGGCATTGCTGAACTCGGATGTATTGGGCCACAACGGCACATATATCGCAGCCTAGGTGTAAATCACAGTACTTCAGGTTATCGCCGGAGCTAGGGTTGTATACTGTGTGCGACCATCATAGCGGCCGAGTAGCAGTTCCAAGGGAAGCAGCCAAGCTATAACAGATAAACAGAGATAGAATAAAATTGATTATCTCGCCTATAGCCACTACATACTTTTATTTGACAATTATATTTTTCGTAAACTAGCCTTGCTGTCACTCATCCATCCATTCGCTGCATCAAAAATACTTTCAACGTAAGATAAATTTACCTATGCAAAACGGCACAAACTCCTCACGTTTAACTAAACTTTGGCCTGTGGCGTCAAGAAATCTGCCAGGTCTAAAATTGAGAGGGTCTCCCCATATCTCAGATGACAAGAGGATAGAGTCTAGACTAGGCATGATGATAGTGCCTTTCGGGATGAGGTAATCCCTGAAGACGATGTCTCTGGAGGCTGAGGAAGAAACGATATTTATTAGTTTATTCTGTTGCAGGGGCGCCAACACAAGAAACACATTGTGAGAGGGGGCCGTGCATCCGTACACAATTTTCTAAGACGGGGTCTCTTAGAACCTAAACCTTGATTAAGTGCTTAATAATAATAATATACTGTGCCCTCAGATGCTCAGATGACTTAAGCTTTAACTAAGTTTGTAATAAAAATAATAATGTGCTGAACAGAAAATAAGTATAAATTGTATTTAAAATATTATGACGGGTACAAACCAAATGTTGGACTAAGTCGCCACCCTTCAAGTTTAAGTTTAGTCCCAAGTCACTGCCACCAAGTCCCGAGTCAAGTCTCAAGTCATTGAGAATGCTTCAATGTCAAGTCCCGAGTTAAGTCTCAAGTCACCAAGAATGCTTCATTTTCGAGTCCCGAGTCAAGTTTCAAGTCACCAAGAATGCTTCAATGTCGAGTCCCGAGTAAAGTCTCAAGTCACTAAGAATGCTTCATTTTCGAGTCCCGAGTCAAGTCTCAAGTCACCAAGAATGCTTCAATGTCGAGTTCCGAGTCAAATCTCAAGTCACCAAGAATGCTTCAATGTCGAGTCCCGAGTCAAGTCTCAAGTCAGCAACAATGCTTCCATGTCGAGTCCCGAGTCAAGTCTAAAGTCACCAAGAATGCTATCAAGTCGAGTCCCGAGTCAAGTCTCAAGTCACCAAGAATGCTTCCATGTCGAGTCCCGAGTCAAGTCTCAAGTCAGCAACAACGCTAGCATGTCGAATCCCGAGTCAAGTCACTTAACGATTCACGTCATTTTGCAAGTCGTGCATTAGGCAATGCTTATGGGCAAATCAGAACGTCAGTGCAATAAACTCACTATTTGTACAAGCGCAAGACGTCGAATATGAAAGCTTGATAAATCGAAGCAGAATTTATTCTGCCCTGTTTTAAATAAAGGGTTAAAAAAATTTGACATGTCAGAATTCTGTCTTGACATTCATGGGTCGGTACAGACCGTAGAGACGGTGGACTGTATGTGCGTACAGAACGCTGAGTTGACGGACCGGTCATCACGGTGTAGTCATAACTGTTATATGTAAGCGTGGAAACTATAGTTCATCTTGTTATAGTTGACTGCGACAAAGTGTGACTCGGCCGGTTTGTCTTGGTGAATCGAATTCTCCACCGACGAAGCCATAATTAACGAGGCCAAGCTTTGTACAGGGCCGAGACGGAGTTCACCAACTGTGACAAAAAGCCACGAGATTGTGGGCTAAGGTTAGAGATAGAAGACGTGATTAGTTGGACAGAGTTAAATGTTAGGGTGTTAGAATAATATTATAGTGACTGGATAGACTGTGCTGTATTACGTTATGAAAGTATAGCTTCTATGTGTTGTCTCTGTGTTGTGGAGCGCCCAAAGGCGACATGTGATGTGTTGTCCCTTATTTCGTAAGTAGTGTCGAGGTATTCTGAAAAGCAGAATCGGATGTTGATATGGTTTTTGTTATAATATCTATCCTCGGCACAATGGCTCCGCACTCGACGGCCGCTGTGCAAACTACTTACTAAAGGTTCAATTGCCAATAAAAAAAAAAAATAAACTGCAGTTTGTTTGCGAAGTCTGTAAACGATTTTCGACTAATTGGGACCCAGAAAAGTATGCAACTGGCTTGGATGTATTCATCTTCTTTTCTCTACGGCTGGAATGCCTGAAGCGTCAAGACAGAAAGAAATCTCCGGAACAGGCCCTTCTGTTCGCTTCGTATAAAGTTTTGTTCAGTGACTCTGATATTTCTGAAGTCCATATCTGCGTGGTGACCTCTAGCTCTGTTCCCGCTGTATCTGTATAACATTGCTATCTGTGGGACCATGTCTGATGCCAGTCTTGTTACATGGCCAAACCTCCAGTCGATTCATGAGATCTCTTTATTTTCTACAAGCACTGAAGTAAGCCATAGTCGGGTTGCTGGAGTCACAGCGTTTTTAAATTTCCTAGAAGATCACACGAACTTATCACATTCAGACTAGTTTAACACAACATCCACTCTAAAATGTGCGAAACTAACACCGGTTAGATGCTGGCCGAAGCATTCGTTGCGTCGCCATCTTGACCTGAATATGCATTCTAAATTCTTTTAAAAACGGCTCATTAGCTTTCACATGCAATACCTACACAGAATACTTGGCATCCAATATCTAGACAAGATCGCAAATGCTGAAGTGTTGGAAAGACCAAGTATCACAGTATTGTTCTCTGTTTTCGGAGGATCAGATGAACTGGACACACTTGGGCATTGGGTGAATGAAGAGGTCCTGAGAATATCAGGCAGTGATTTCCAAACTGTGCGCCGCGGCGTCACAGGGCGTCGCGAAATATTCTAAGATACACGTTTTATGTTTTTTTTTTTTTTTTAAATTATCTTTTACAAACGAATAGTCATACTTTTACTTAGGTTAGGGCGCCGTGGAAACATTTTAATTGAAAAAAAAAAAAAAAAAAATGCGCCGCGACTAAGAAAAGTTACGGAAACACTGGTCTAAGGTGAATTACAACTTACGCACAGAATATGTGGAGGCGGGCCTCTGCTACAAAGGTAGACGACCTCTTCCGAATGTTCCTCGTATGTACATGTAAACCTTATTTTAAAGAGAGAAAGAGAGAGAATGAGAGAGAGAGAGAGAGAGAGAGAGAGAGAGAGAGAGAGAGAGAGAAGAGATAGATAGATAGATAGAGAGAGAGAGAGAGAGAGAGAGAGAGAGAGAGAGAGAGAGAGAGAGAGATCTTACCTGTATGGTGGAGGCTGAAAGGAGTAATGCTCGATATTCTCTGAACTTCCATCACTGTTGCCTCCATATATTTGAGCTGTTGCCTGTCTTTGTAAGTTGGCCGACGGTCCAGCCCGACGTGCTCAACCATCTCCTGGAAACAGCGATCTGTAACCTCGGGATGACGCACCAGATAGAGCAGAGCCCAGCAAATTGTGGTGGAAGTCGTCTCCGTACCGGCAGCAAACAGGTTTGCTACCACGGCAACCAGGTTCTCCTCTGATCATGCAATATATATATATATATATATATATATATATATATATATATATATATATATATATATATATATGTGTGTGTGTGTGTGTGTGTGTGTGTGTGTGTGTGTGTGTGTGTGTGTGAGTGTGTGTGTGAGTGTGGGCGTGTGTGTGTGTGGTTAAGTGTGAATGTAAAAACGACGTGTTATCCAGAATATTTAAAATATTCAAAATGAACTAATACCCAGCTTATTTGTTGACTGGTCGGATACAATTCTTTCAAATGACTTCTAATTTAAACTGCTAAGTTCAAAAAGTTGTTTGTCCCTTTCATGTACCAGCAAAAACTGCACACAATGTCTACTACTGTCCCGTGTAATAGTTGAACATTTGGCAGTCATGGCAAAGTCAACAGCATACACATGCATTGAATGCATGAGGGAGCCTCCAAAGATGTCAACACTAACAGTCCACTAGAATTGCAGCTCTTCGTCGAGAGAAGCATCAGTCACGACAAATCAGCAATAGCAAATGTATTACTGCATCAGACATGCTAGCGGTTCTGTGGCAACTCGTGTTACTGCATTATACATGCTTGCGGTTCTGTAGCAACCTGTCACTGTGTATTTGCGGAAAATACAGTTTACCATACAAAACATCTTGGTCGGAGACGAAAAGTATTCCACATTAAATCCACAGCTCAGTATGTTACATCATGCACTCAACTCAGTACTGGACAACGGAATCATATAATTACTGCCCACATATGAGGAAATTTTGTCAACAAACCGTTATCAGAAGTAAATAACACTTCAGTCTGTAAATCCACCATATTTAATAGATGTTTTAATAATATTCAGAAGACATGAGTTCTTAACCATTTGGCTCGGTACTTTGGCAATCGGCCTTGATTCCATGATAAATACCGTCAATCTTGGAGAAATGTGGCTTTTCTGCCTACCCCCGGGCGTGAACCCAGACCACAAGCGGTTCGTCATCCGGTCGCCGCTCAGTCATGTTTAACGAACTGCGCTAGCGAGCCGGGCGATATTCAACAGATAAATCGTTCAGCATGTAGGAGCCGCGAAATCTGAGTGAAGTTCGTGCATATAATTCCTTTCCACTTAATAAGAATTACTTTATCAAACGAAAGTTTGCATAGCCATCTTTTTCCTCTTCAAATTTAGAAACTAGAGACTAATCCCGGTTCTAGAACTATATATTCGAGGAGAAGTTTTATGATCTTAAAGACGCTACTCAGACTGGGAATGTAGTTTGCAGATAGGCTGTGTCAGGAAAGCTTGTTATAATATCTTGGTCTAGTTAGAGATTCTGCCTCAGCGGTCCATCGTATAGGTTTCAACTAAGAGTCATCGAGTTGTATGTACAGCCTACTTTATTACATACAGGTCGGAAACACATGAGCCGTGAACAAGCTGTCAGATGAAAGAACGAATGTTAATCATATGTAAATCTACAGATAAATATCGGACAAATCACAAGTCGCTAGAGCTGTTTTACTACGGAGGAACTCAGAAAGATCTTTAGACAGCCATATTGAATGGTTTAAACGTTTTTGTTTTCAAAGTGGCTATGACACCAAAACCAAAACAATTTATCACACACATTAGGAAAAGGCAGTGGTCACCTTTGGACATAATACTTGTTTATGAACGTCTAGAAATTTCAGCCGCAAACTATTAATTCCTATCTTTAGGCGATAAAGTCAGATATCATTTAAAATAAAAATATCATACACTTTGAACTCACCATTGATGGGTGAGGTATTCACGTCTGCTGCTTTATGAGCTCGGATTTCACGAATGTAACCTGTTAAGAAATCTGGCACGTCTTTGATGTCTTCAGCCTCTATGTCTTTCTTACGTAGTTCCAGCTGCTTCTTAATCAACGCATTCTCGATCTGAGCAGCTATTCTCAGAGTCTTCTGGAGTCTGAGAGACGAGAAGCCACACGACGCTGATTTAAGAGCAAATAAAACAGAAACAGAATGGAACTTATCAGCTCTATACGAAGATGACCACAAGTTAACTATCTTGCGGTCCCTGGCAAGAGCCAGAGTAGGGCTTCAAATAACGAAAAATTGCATCCCACAAAAGGATGACAAGATTACTATCTAACTAAATGTATGTTGAAGCTATGAATACTTCCTAAGCAGATACAAGTAAGAAATACATTGACACAGTTTTGTGAAAGACTCACTTCATGTTTTAAGTTTCTGTGAAAACTCGAAAATGATGATTAGGTGGAAAACATTGTGACTACAGTTTTCTGCGTTCAAAAGAAGAGACAAGAAAAAGACAGAAAGAAAAAATATAAGCAAATATACGAGCCAAAAAATATATAAGAAGAAAACAAAACAAACGCAAAATATATCAAGGCTTAAATGCAAACAGAGCTTTAAAAGGGGTACTTATGTAAAGTAGGCGTCTGTGGCTTAGGCGCTGCCAACGCTCTTCGTAATACGGGTAAGTTTTTAAAGGGTTAGGAAATTATAGGGAAGAGAAACAGTTGGTAAGAAAAGAACAAACAGTTTATGTTAGTTTTACAAAATCGATCACAATAAACAAACAGAGGACGTTGCGGCGATTAGCCTTCATCAGCACATAAAGAACAATACAGTACACATACACAAATATGCTCTAACTATTAAGTGACTACATGGGACCTTAATGTATACAATAAATGATACTCATCTGTGTCACTAGTGAAAAACTTCCTTCAAGAGAATGTCAAGGACAGGTACTGGCCTATTTAACACCAACGCGCGGTCGGGGAGTAAAAAACGGGTTCAGTATAACTAGGAAAACAGCGTACACTGAGTGTCTAAAGAGGGAGAGAGGGGTTGGCCAATAAGGCGTAACCCGGGTTGGGTCGTGGGGATGACATTGGTTCATCTCATGGAATAAAAGTGGTGCCTGTGCTAACGAGCAAATACCAACAGACAGGTAGGCAGGCCGGCAGACAGGCATGCTGACAGATAGATAGATAGATAGATAAACAGACAGACAGACAGACAGACAGACAGACAGACAGACAGACAGACAGACAGACAGACAGACAGACAGACAGACAGACAGACAGACAGACAGACAGACAGACAGACAGGCGGGGTACCAGATTCGATCCCAGCTGCGGACTGTTTGTCTTGCGTTGGTTTCCACAGTAGTACCAAGAGCTGACCGTTCAGTAACAGTGGCAAACTACTAAGCGTAAAATTTAAATAGAAAAACCACAACAGCCAAAGAATGCTGGGGTTGGTTCTGCAACGTCCTGTAAAGGATACGCAACTAACTTTTAACTTATGTGAAGCCGGGGTGAAGTAGCTAGACACTCGGCTGCGGATCGGAAGTTCGTGGATTTAGGCCCTGACAAAGCCGGGTTTTTCCCATGGCTCCCAGGCTGACCCAGTCTTAAATGGGTACCAGGTAAAGTCCTGGGAAGTAAAGGCGACCAGTGGGATGCTAACCACATCGTCCACCAAGTGCTGATTGGTCTATAAGAGTTCTAGCCGTATATGACCAATACGCCTGAAGGCGTGGCGAAGGGTAATTTACTTAACTCATGTAAAACGCGGCTCAAAATGCAGAGAAAGCGACACAGTCAGTACAATCTGATAAAAAACTTGACCTATAAAATATAGGTCTAGCCTTATATGCCCAATACGCCTGGAGGCGTGGAAAAGGGGTCATTTACATTTCATTACTTATGTAAAACGTAGTTCATTATTTAAAGGATGCGACAGTCAGTGTGATCTGCTATACGACTTGGCTGTTCAAGTAATGAGAGGGCGTGGTGACATATTTTTGTTAATACAGTGTATTCTCACCCAAACAAGTCCCCAGGCAGCATCCGGAGGATCGGCAGAAAGTTGAGGATCACGGTGCCTTCCAACAAGGACAATTGGTCTCCGAATAAACTAGTGTATCGGGCAATCTCTGGGTCGTCGTGTCTGAATGGCAAAGTCAACAGCGAAACAATTGTGTGTTAAGGTTTTTATGACAATAATACAATCAGTAGAAACTGCATCATTATCATCATCATGTAGCAGGTCCTTTGCAGAACGTCGCTCTCATCACAGTCTGCCTGAAAGAAACTCGGTCTCTCGCCAGTTCTCCCGCCTCATGCACTTTAACACTCAAGGAGTCATTTATATCCTGTGCCCATTTTCGTGTCTGTCGGCCCCTGTCCCTCCTTCCTGGTACTATGCCTTGTGCTATAATTTTTTCCAATCCGTCGTGGCGCCTGATATGACCAAAATATTTCAGCTTTCGAGAAAGGATGCTACTTATTAGCCAATCTTCCTTGATGTTCAGATCTTCTAAGATGTCAGTATTTCTCCTCTTCTCTGTGTAGAAACAGCAGCAGTAGAATTAGTGATAGATGTACGAGTAGATGGTAATAAAAACAGTTCTATAAATAGTGACAGTAGCAACAGTTATGGTAGTTCTTATTTTAATAGTCAAGGTGTTTTAACCTGGCGGTAGGTAACGGTACGCAGCACTGCACCTTTTCAGGCATTATTTATTTTCAGCCTTACTGTAATAGACACTGTGGTGAGTACAGACGGCTGGTTAGACACTGTGTGGTGAGTACAGACAGCTGATTAGACACTGTGTGGTGAGTACAAACAGCTGGTTAGACACTGTGTGGTGAGTACAGACGGCTGGTTAGACACTGTGTGGTGAGTACAAACAGCTGGTTAGACACTGTGTGGTGAGTACAGACAGCTGGTTAGACACTGTGTGGTGAGTACAGACAGCTGGTTAGACACTGTGTGGTGAGTACAGACAGCTGGTTAGACACTGTGTGGTGAGTACAGACAGCTGATTAGACACTGTGTGGTGAGTACAAACAGCTGGTTAGACACTGTGTGGTGAGTACAGACAGCTGGTTAGACACTGTGTGGTGAGTACAAACAGCTGGTTAGACACTGTGTGGTGAGTACAGACAGCTGGTTAGACACTTTGTGGTGAGTACAAACAGCTGGTTAGACACTGTGTGGTGAGTACAGACAGCTGGTTAGACACTGTGTTTTGAGTACAGACAGCTGGTTAGACACTGTGTGGTGAGTACAGACAGCTGGTTAGACACTGTGTGGTGAGTACAGACAGCTGGTTAGACACTGTGTGGTGAGTACAGACAGCTGGTTAGACACTGTGTGGTGAGTACAGACAGCTGGTTAGACACTGTGTGGTGAGTACAGACAGCTGGTTAGACACTGTGTGGTGAGTACAGACAGCTGGTTAGACACTGTGTGGTGAGTACAGACATCTGGTTAGACACTGTGTGGTGAGTACAGACATCTGGTTAGACACTGTGTGGTGAGTACAGACAGCTGGTTAGACACTGTGTGGTGAGGATCGGCACCTTTCTGATTTTTTTTTTCTTGGCTAGAAAAAAAAGCCCTAATGGTAATACCATTTTTTTAAAAACTGTGCTTGTTCAACCATGGATGTTGACTGCAGTAGCCATTGTCATAATAAGTCTTGTGTGAGGCTTTTAACGGTTGTAAGCAGCCCGGCTCTCTAGCGTAGTTGCTAAACCGGATTGCGCGGAGACAGGGTGACGAACTCCTTGTGCTCCGGGTTCAATCCCGGGGGTAGGCAGGAAAGCCACATTTATCCTAGATTTACGGTATTTACAATGGAATTAAGGCCGAAAGGTTGCGATATCCATAATACCGAGCCTAAGGGTTAACAACTCATGGCTTCTGGATACTAAAACAAACAAACAACGGCTGTAAGCAGCTCTGGCGTCACTACTTAGTGTGCCTAACATTGTCATGAACGATCTGTCACAGAATTCACGCCATATTGAAACTTATTACTCTACTCATACACTTTCTGGACTGACATGTATGCATCAACACGACTGACCTTCATTTACCGATGAATGTTTATGGGTTTCACCTCTTCCCAGATGTACTTAAAAAAAAAAAAAAACAGATAACAGTATGCTGCTCCTCATGGTTCACGTAAAACACGGGGGTCATCTTTAAACTGTCATTATGCATATTCATCTTACCGTGATGTTGTGTGCTTAACACTCATTTTTAGCAACAATAATGAGAGGTAACAAGGCAATGGTTTAATTACCTAATTTTTCTTCCTAAAGTCCATACCGTGTAGCGTTGGTAGTCCCGCCTATCCAGATCATTTTGTCTCGTGTACTTTCAATCAACTCTGACACATAAGATCTTTCATACCATGATGCCAAACTGTCCAGGGTCTGTTCTCTCGGTCTCCATCTGCCTCTCCTCCCTTCCAACGTTCTTACCCTCACGGTGTAATCCAGTTTTCTCATTCTCATCACATGACCGAAGAATGTATATTGTCTCTGTCTAATGTGGGCAATCTGTTCTCTTCGTGAGTCATTTTCCTTCAAGCGTCTCCATTACTCTTTTTTATCTGTCCAGGGTATTCTCATAATTCGTATATGAAAAAACATTACAGCTTCCAAATAAGTATGACTAATTTACTAACTGTACATAGTTTACATCTGTATATCAGTATAGAATTTATATAGCTGTTAAAAATATCTTTCTCGTCTCAATTGAAAAAGAAAGATTGCATAAATTGTCTTTATTTAGTAAAATACTGCCTTTGTTTGAGCTGTTCGACATTTAACTTTCTTAAGTTACTTTAATATGTTTCAAATTTTTAAGCTTTTTATTTGAAACCAGCCCCCTCCCCCCACCACCCACTGTCTCTCTTTCTCTCGTACAGAGTAAAGACGTGAAAGTAAAACGGCACAAAAATCAAGTTATCCTCGGTAGATACCTAAACCCACTTCCAAAAACCAAAGCACAGATGATGTTAGAGACGCTGTGCATGGTCAACTGTCTGGGGTTGAAAGCCTGTCCGTGAAATGTGTCGATATTATCCAGAAAACGGGAGATCTCCTCCTGGACTTTCTCCTCCATGACAGACGTGCCCAGGCCCAGCTCCTGCAGGATTGATATCGTGACTTTTCTCTGAGCTCTCCAGGATGGCCCGGATGTAACAAAACCTGGGGAGATATCATTAATATTTCATCACTTTCGATGGTATTTTCAAACATAATGGATCATTTCCCATGCATTCAGGCATAAGACACATAGGACAAGACCTATATTTTAGATTGCAAGCGTCACTCGGTGGGTAAAAGTAAAAGTAAAGTAAAGTAAAGGGCCCTTTTTTTCACGCCTGTAGGCGTATAAGGCATATAGGGCTAGACCTATATTTTATAGACCAATCGGCACCAGATGGGTGATATGGTCAGCATAACACCAGCCGCCTTTACTTCCTGGGACTGCACCGGGTACCCACTCAAGGCTGGGCCGACCTGGGAGCCGAGGTAATTTTCGAAAAAAGTCTGGCTCCGCCCGGGAGCGAACCAAAGACCTTCCGATCCGCGGCGAGAGTCTAACCGCTCCGCCACAGCGACTCCCAAAGTAAACATCACTTTTCAAGCCTTAAGGCGCATCGGGTATATGGAAGGAGCACCGATATTTTTACAGACCATTCGGCACTAGGTGGGTAATGTGATCCATATTTCACCGGTCGTCTTCCCCAGGACATATATCCTGGTGCTCGTTGGGTAATGTGGTCAACGTTATACCAGTCGTCTTCCAAAGGACATACATCCTGGTACTCGGTGGGTGATGTCAAAATCAGTCGGTGGTCTTTACTTCCCAAGACTTTACCTGGGACCCATTTAACGCGGGGTCGTCATAGAAGTGAAGGCCATAAATTAAAAGAGTCCGACATCCTTCGGAATTGAACCTACATCCTTCAGATCCACAGGCGAGCATCTAGCCGCTATACCACGGCGGCTCTCCTTTTAGAACATTCCGTTTGTAAAACGATACAAAAAGAAAGGGAATGCGTTGTGCTCAGGAGACATGAAGATAGAGGAGTTATCGATAAAGATCAGACAGTTACAAATGGGTATTCATCGAGGACGTGCACGCAGGAACCGGTTGCGTGGCAAAGCAAGAAAGTATTCCACTCAACTCCTGCTAGATATGTTGAGCATGGAGACCTGAGGTAGCGGCTGCATCCGGGGAGGCGTATAAGAAAAGCAGCAACAACAATAATAACAAACAAACAAACAAACAAATCAAACACTAAAAGCAATAACGTGTCTAGATGAATACTTTTCAGGACTGCTTACAAGGAGCGTCATCATCATCACGTAGCAGGTACTTTGCAGAACATCGCTCTTATCACGGTCTGCCTGAAAGAAACTGGGTCTCTCACCAGCTCTCCCGCCTGGTGTACTTTTATATCCAAAGCGTCACTTATATCCTGCGCCCATCTTCGTGTTGGTCGGCCGTTGTCCCTCCTTCCTGGTATCATGCATTCTGCTATTATTTTTTTTTTTTCAATCTCCTATGATCAAAATATTTCAGCTTCCGAAACAGGATGCTACAAAGAGCGTAAACAGTTATACTGGCCGACTGACTACTTGGCACGGTTTTGTGCAGGCAGTTTAATCAACTAAAAAAAACTATTCATCAACAAGGGACAACTACATATCAACAAGGGGCGACTGTACATCAACACTACATGACAGTACTAACCTTTATCTTTTCCCAGAGCCTGCATCACAAATGTCTTTGGCCTGTCGGAGAAAATGTCTGCATGTTTCACGAACGCTTCTTTGATGGTATCAAAGCCATACAGAACTACAGCCAAGCGGTTTCCTAGGTACAGGCTGAGTAATGGTCCGTGTCTAAGATAATATATTATAAGCCAGGTTTAGTTATTTGATATATTAGCAATGTACGCCTACAAACCACAGATGCTACCTGTCTCTTTACCAACATATCCACCCACAAGCCTAACCAACGAGATCTAGTGAATAATAATTATATCAGACGGACTGTGCAATACCACTTGTATTAGATTCATCGATAAACAGCAGAGCAAACGGTCTGACCAACTCGTTAGAATCCAGCAACAGCAAATACAATTTCAGGCACTACATCTCAGAAGATCTGCTACATTAGAGATACTTTATGCCTTTACGATATGACAATAGCCAGTGCGAACAGCGTGTCACATACTGCTGATTTCACGTGCCTTGGTAAGGGTTTCCCCTGATAACCCATTTAGCACTCTGAAGTTATAAAATGTTGAGATGTTGGCTCGCAAATGGTCTAGGTGGAATCCTGAAGCTCCAATGAACATCCAACCTACTTCAGGGGTGAGGCGACGCAAATTATGGCACTACAGAATCTAATATATTCCTTTGCTCAACTTGGCCTGACTTCCTCACTACTTCAATTAGGCTCCCCCCCCCCCCCCCCCCGACGACTAGATAGTCTCCTATCCTAGTCGACATAAGAAAACAGTTTAATATGTAATATAGTGATACCATACACACACTCCAGACAACTAGGGACAGTGAAAGATCCACACTAAACCATGGATGGAGACTTTACAAAACATACTGTAATCAGTATAACAAATACAAGGATAGGGCAAAAGAATTCAATAACAACAATGACACTAAGGAGACAAAGGCAATTCATATAGGACTAGAACGGGCGCAACAATACACACGGGCGTTCGGTCCTACTACCCAGAG